CCACTTATCTTTATTTAATTATTTTTTGGAATTTTTAATTAAAATACAGCTCATTCCCTAACAAAACTCATATAAACCCAAGTTTAAAACTTTTTAAAGGGCCTCAAAAAAGGGCATACAATTTTCACCCAAATTTCAAACGTTTTTCTCAGAAGTGCTAGAGTTTTTTAAGTACACAGTAGGTACACAGTTTTATAGCCCATTCAATTTTAGTCCAATAATGTGTAAGCTTCAAGTGGCTAAAAATTACCGTTGAATTTTTATAGTTTTTTTCGCCGAAGGTGTTTTGTTCTAAAAAATCAACGGTAATTTTTAGCCACTTGAAGCTTACACATTATTGGACTAAAATTGAATGGGCTATAAAACTGTGTACCTACTGTGTACTTAAAAAACTCTAGCACTTCTGAGAAAAACGTTCGAAATTTGGGTGAAAATTGTATGCCGTTTTTGGGACCCTTTAAAAAGTTTTAGACTTGGGTTTATATGAGTTTTGTTAGAGAATGAGCTGTATTTTAATTAAAAATTCCTAAAAATAATTAAATAAAGATAAGTGGCAAATCATATAACCTAGCAAAGGGGGGGCGGGGGTGGGTTTCTATAGATATGTCCCTTACTGTACATATTTTTCATTAATTAACAGTGTACATACATATGTATGCTTTTATTGAAGTACACTCTACATACATATGTGTGCATTTTTTTGTTGAACTTAAGGCTGAAAGCTGTTTTTTTACGTAGATATGTAAGTTTTTTTATTAATTAAATTTCTGAAAGCTATGGATAATAAAGCTGTTTTAAAACGCATTTGATTTCAAAATGTATTCGATTTTATTCCAAAATGTTTACATATTACTTATCACTAATTATATGTAGGCATATTTTGATATAGATACATATTTATATAGATATATACTAGTGGTCAACTAATTAAGTTAACGACATTTTGACCAGTTTTGCCTATTTTTCTTTTGTTTATTCTTTAAAAAATTCAAATAGTTGAAGTTTTATAGTTTTGTACAAAGTTAGAACTGCGGATTTGTGTGGTGCGCTTTATAATGAGCTACATTTTTAAATAAACAAAAGAACAATAGCCAAAACTGGTCAAAATTTCGTTAACTTAATTAGTTGACCACAGTATATATGTATGTACATACATACATATGTACACTATACAGCGTGGCGACGAATAACTGTTACCCATTCATTCGGCATTGTATAAAAAAGACAAAAAAAAGAAAAACTGTATAGGGTTGGTCGAATGAATGGCCGTCCTAGTCACCAGTTCAGAGTCTATTCGATTCTTGGGTATGAGGCCTTATGTTGGACAGAAGGGGGAGTACAAGGGACTCAAAATGGACAAAATTAGCCTATGGTTACAGAAGATATGGAATAAACTAACCGACGAAGACCTGCGCGCCAAATGAACTTTTCGCTCAAAGTTTACACTGGTGGCAAATGTAAATAAGGATTAAAATTTAAAAAGTAATTAATACAACTTAAATAAAATCTGTGGAAAATTAACAATAAAATCAGACAGGTTCTGCAATTCTCTTCCGAGTGAATGTCAACCCCTACCAATTTGAATTCAAAGCGAACTTGACTGAAATTCACTCGGAAGTGCATTGCAGAACCTGCCGGGATACTTTTTTCGCAAAATCTATAAAGGACCCTTTTATTTCTTAAAAAAACCTGGGTAACAATTATTCGTCGCCACGTTGTACATTATAAATGAGCACAATTTGTACAACTTCAGACACATGCAAATTCAAAATTTATGTTATTAATGCGTTTAGGCAACTTTGACGTGCCCTTCTGCCTTCAGAGTAATGCTCCGTTGATTGTATTGGCGTGTTCATGCCCACACCATCGGGAGGGGAGTCTTCTGGCAGCATGGTTTCTTCTGATAAAAAAATTCGTCGTTTTTGCAGTATGTTGTGAAATATTGCGCATGTGTAAATAATAAATGCGGCATTTGTGTGGGTATATTTGAGCACACGCTCTTTGGATAAACACCTAAAGCGAGACTTTAGGACTCCAAATGCGCGCTCTATCGTATTTCTTGCCTTAATATGTACCGTATTGAAAAGTTCTTCATTAGCAGATGAAGGGCTTGGTATTGGCGTAAGAAGCCATGGCTCTAAAGGGTAGCCCGAGTCGCCCAAAAGCCATTTAAAGGCTCCAGAAACATGCTCTCTGATCAGCTTAATTCTTACAGGCGATGTTGTCCATATACCGGCGTCGTGGCATGAACCAGGAAATCGTGCATTTACGTTCCGAAAAATTAGCTCTTCGTCACAAATCTACGAATAGGGTGGATTTTTATTAAATATTGCAATGTGTTGCTAGCTCAACCATGCGTTTTATATACTTACAGCTTCAACGTTAATGCTGCAATATCCCTTCCTGTTCATGTATTCATGAGGCACTACCCCAGCGGTTGAAGATGGCGGAGAAATTATGGCGACATGTGTGCAGTCAATAGCACCTATTACACCTTTAATAGCGAATTTGTTGTGAAAACTGAAAATGTTGTATAAATTAAATGTTAAATGAATGTATATTTCAAAATGTGTACAGAACTTACCCCCTCTTAATGCTGTTGTAGTGGTCAGCCGAATTGGGAAAACTAATTTCGACATGTTTATGTTCAACAACCATCCTGCATATCTGTTTAATGTTTCGCGAGACGCTTGGCTGACTCATTGCGGCAAAGTGGCTATTTCCTATGCAGCTTTGGTAGGAGCCATTCGACAGGAAATATAGTACTGAAATAAACTAGATTGAAGGCAGTAATTAGTGAAGCATATATATCTTTTTGTATGGGCAGTATCCTTACTCGAAGCTCCAACGGAATTCTAGATTTCCGAGTGTAGTTGTCGTGCGGTTTTAATTCTTGGATAAGGTCCCAGCACAACGACTTCGGAAATCTAAGAAATCTGCTGAAAATCTCCTCCTGCAGCAAAAATGGATCCTCCGTATCACGCAAGCTTGCCAGAATTCGCCTGCGGACATTCCTAGATCATAAGCAAATTTCCATTTATATAATTGTATTTACTAAAAATTGTGGGTAATATTTTGTTATTTGCCCACGAGTTTTGGGTAAGTGGGCGGAGTCATACCTGCCCATCGAACTCTTAACCCCTGGGGATCCATTTGCAAATGGAATAAAATTAGCAGTTTGACACAGAAAATGTTAACTAGGGTTACGCCGTCCACAGTATTTTTGTGTAGAACCTCTTTCCGCGCTGGTGGCCTTCGGCTGCGCTAAAAAAATAAGCCTCATCAGTCCAACTCCGGCTACGCGATCCACAGAATTTTGCGCACAATTCACAAAACGTGCATATTTCAAACCGAATTTTTCAATAAATTGCTCGGAAATTTTAGAGCTTCGTTTTAATTTAGACCTTGGACACAATAATCTGATATCGTTGGGTAAATAACTACACAGTACCCAAAATTGGGGCTACACAAATATTACCTCGCTTCATTTTCACGTTTTTTTAGGATAAAATAGAAAGCAATTATCTCTTCCTCCATAATTTTCCTTTGTTTGATTGTATATTTTCGTTTTGTGACCTCTTGAAAACCAGCTGACAAATTAGTAACTTTTTTTTTTGAGCCTAGAGATGTGAGACAGCTTACTGAATACCAATTAGTCTCAAAATCGATTTTCACCACGAAAAGTCTCTATTAGTGACTAGAGACAGCTTACTGAATTCAGCCATTAATATATCAAATATTATTTTGTCTTCTTCCACTTTCAATTCACTTTTTTTACTTTTTAGATTATTCTCACTTTTTGTGTATTCTTTAATTTCCGTTTATTTAAATTCAGTTGAGTTTGACACTTTTCTTCAAGATTTTGACTAAATTTGACTACTTCGGACTGAAGGGAGTCACTCTCACTGAGTGTTTCTCTCTCATTTTTGCTGTCATTTTCGAATTAACGAACGCTTTTTGGTCTAAATCTGACTACTTCGGACTATTTCTGACTACTTCTGGGAGATAAGGAACGCAACTAACTAACTTTCGAAAGACACTTTACATGCAAAGCGTGACCAATGCTGCCGAAAGCTTTCGCTTGAAAATCGTCACTTTACCCTAATGGGCTGTTTTTGCTTACGCCTAAAATGCTACTCTAAATGTACATTTATCCATGAAAAATTCGTCACCTAAAGGCAACTAACCCTGGGATTCAGTAATTCAGTCTCATCTCAAGTCACTAAATTTGAGATTAGCAATTAGTGACTATTTTTGTGACTTGAGACGATTTGGGTATTCAGAAGGAAAGAGTCACAAAAAGTTCACCAAAAATGTGTGGTGAAAGCAATCACAGACAATCAACTGATAGTTTTTATGTATGCCTTTTGCCCGCGCCGCTCAAAGAGTCGCAATGGCCGAGTGGTCAAAGCATTAGGCTGGCAGCCGAGAGGGTCCGGGTTCAAGTCCTCCTCGGGCGTAGAGGATTTTTATTTTTTTTTATTTAGTACTTTTTTATTAGTTTTATTTTTTTAACAATCTTTAGATTTTAATGTTAAAAAAAATGCAATACATTTGTATGATATTAAAGCATTTTGGTTTATTTCCTAATGAAATTCTTTTTGAACAAATTTCCTCGCTTCATTTTCGCGTTTTTTTTTTTTTAATAAAATGGAAAGAAATAAGTTTTTCCTCCATACTTCTATTTTTGTGACCGGCTCTTAGCCAGCTGACAAATTAGTGACTAGAGACGCCAGACAGCGTACTGAATACCAAATAGTCTCAAAATCCAAGTTCACCACCAAAAGTCACTATTAGTGACTAGAGACCGCTTACTGAATCCCAGGGTAAATGTAACTCCATTTCTGCATTAAGGGTCTAAATGCTAAAATCAACCCTGTGATCTTCAAAAATTTTCATGATTCGAACATGGTTTAATGAGAAAAAGTGGCAACATTGATTTTCGCGTATACAGTAGGATCATGATCCAACTACACAAGATCTGACAAGATGAAGCAAAAGAAAAAAGTAATTTTCTGGCTGACGTTTGTAATTTCGGCGCCATGTTTTTTTCTTTGAAAAGTAAACAAAGAATATGAAGACGAAGCAAAAAAAAGGAAAAAATGCAAGCAATTTTGCAAAACAAGTTTGTGCTAATCAATTTATAATTTTGTACGTGTTTTTGCATCCAATCACCGCGCACTTCATTTTAATTACATTTGCACAAAAAATTTATTGAAAATCGCTTAAAAATCACTGAAATAAACCACCGACAAAATACACATAAAGAAAGAAGCAAAACAGAAATAGCAAACTTGAAAACTACGAACGTCACACACTTTTTTCTCAATTGCTATTACAAATGGCTGCTTCTCAACCGGTCAGATCTGTTCTACTTGGTTCTTCCAGTAGGATTGTTCGCTATGCAAAAAATGTATACAAGTTGGTACCAATTGTTACCAAATCGTGTTCGTTTAGCCAAAAACCCAGTAAAACTAGTAAGGAGAGAGCACAATTCTGACATTTCATTTGGAGGGAAGATGCAAATTCGTGCTGGGGAAAATTTTTGGCAGTAAGAATTTGCAAGCAGGATTGTGGCATACGTTTGCATTTTTGTCAACATTAATTTGAATCAACAAGTTCGTTAAATTTAAAAATGAACCATCTGTAGTGGCGCTTGTAGCTCCAAAATCTTCTTACTTGTGACTTATTAGTGTTTGCTACCTCTGCCCATATGTATATATGCCGGCTTAATTGGGTTACATCTTTTCATTGGTCGTATAACATCGAAACACACTTTATTAGCACTTCCGGCGATATTGCCCTGTGTAAGCTCGCTAAACATAGCTCATATAACTATCATGATTTCTTTTACTCCGGGAAAAGTAGCGCTAGTCCTTCAAATTAATCCCATCAATCAGCTAGACTTAAGGTCTCCTGTTGCAAAATTGAAGCCTTTCGAGGCTTTCAACCTCAAGCCGTAGCGCCATAAACGTCTTCTTTTTTTATAAAACGTCTTCAAGCAAATTTTACATTTTTTTTGTTACTTTTTTTTATAAGTGCGGTGTTCTATTAACTGGAGGCATTCCCAATTTTATCAGACGCATATGTACATACATTTTCATACCGCCTTGGTTGGTGCATTTTCCGCATTATTGTATCGTTGCACATACATACATCGTGCCAAAATCCTCTACGGACTTGGCACTTTGTATATAATTCCTACAACTCACCAAGTACGTACATACATAATATAATATACCGGTGCCGTTAAACCTAGGTATGTGCATATGTACAGTCCCGCATGAGTGAGTGATCGGCGCAAGGAGAGCTACCAGCAGGTGTCAGTTTCGCGCGGAGTTCCTAACATGCGGACTACTATGATTTTGGACGCAAAACAAGTGCCGTGTGGTTATTAATAATAACATACTAGTATATATCTCCATAGGGAAATAATCGGATATCAAAAACAAAAAATTTGTGAAAAGTTAACGTGAAATCGGTAGAAATGAGAAGCATATTTTACATATGCACACTTGCATTGCGTTAGAGTAACAGAAACCCGTTTTTGATTTTTTTTAAGAAAGTTTTGTGTTACAGGAAGCTGAAAATCAAAATATAAATTAGAATATATTGTAGTTAACAAAAAAAAAAAAAAAAAAAAAAAAAAAAAAAAAAACACGGACCATCGTACCCAAACCTAAGGGACACTTCCATGTTGTTATACGTCATAATCCTGTTCTTCATGTTGATCTGCATACCTTGATCAAGCAAGAAGTCTAATCCAATGATGACTTCATCCATAATCGCCGCGACAATGAACTTGTGTAACACCGTCACATTCCCTATTGCGACTTTACATGTTACCTCTCCTACAACTTGGGTGTCCTCACCAGTTGCTGTCCTCAACCTTGCTCCAGGTAATGGCCTTACCTCTTTAGTGACCAAATCAGATCGAATGATGGAATGTGATGCGCCCGTATCCACAGTTAGTACTCGCTCATGTCCGTCCACATATCCACCAACAGTAACGTTGCTCGCTTTTCTGCCAATTCGCGAGACGGAGATAATGGGGCATTCAATTGCGGGAGCCAGCGCGAGCCCCTTGCTGCTGGCTCGTTTTAGTTTAACGACTGATTGGAGTTGGATTCGTCTCCTTCAGCCCTGCGTTTGCGTCCTGCTGAATTGTTGAGCGCACTGGAACTTGCGCTGCAATCGCGGGCGAAGTGGCCTGGCTTTCCACATTTAAAATATTTGCCAGAGCCATGCTTTTTCTCGCCCAGCAGTTGGATAATCTTCTTCAGCATTTCATTTGTCTCGTCCGGTGTTTCCACT